AGAAAAGTACCTCTTTCTCTACCTGCTCTTTCCCATGCATAATCTTATAAACCTCAATCATGTCACCCCTCAGTCATCTTTTCTCCAAGCTAAAGAGCCCTAAGCGCCTTAACCTTTCCTCATAGGGAAAGTGTCCCAACCCTTTTATCATTCGAGTTGCCCTTTTCTGCACTTTTTCCAAAGCTATATCCTTTTTAAGGTGTGGTGACCAGAACTGCACACAGTATTCCATTCATGGGTGCTCCGTGTTCCCTCTCTTTCTATCCCCCTGTCGCAGGCAGCGGCTAGAAAGGTCCTCTAATGGCTGCCACCACTCTGGTGTGGGTCTTCTTGGAAGGCCCCAGAGCACCCACCCTGCCCCTTTATACAATACTTTTTCAGTAGGTTTCCTTTTATGGGTGACCGAATGAGGCCTGAGGACCCAGGCAGAGTTAACGAACTAGTTTTATTAAAGAGAATTAATAAGAGCTGTAGTTCAAAAGCATGTAGGAAAAACGAGCACAGTAAAGGTAGGTAAATCAGTAAAATGATAAATCCTAACATGTCTTAACCATGCGGTCCTAACCTTCCCTAGGTACCTGGTCTCAGACGGACTCAGACCCTTTTGGGATCCCTCTTTCAACAGTAGCAGCAGCCCTGCTCCCTGAGAGATAACACCCTCCCACTTTGGGCAAGGCCTCTTTCTTCCCTGGTAGCACCCCCTTACTCCCTGCTGGTGCAGTTTTCCCTCCAAAATCCCATTAACCAATCACATGGTCCAGAAGGAACCTGGGAAACGTAGGCCCTGATAGCTACTCCAATACAGGCTTCCCTGGAGCCTGTAGGCCGCACCACTATAGGCCCAGGATCATGACACACACACCCCATCCACTTTTATCTCGCCCTTCTCCCGAAGAGCTCAGGACAGCATACATAATTGTCCCCTCCCCCAATAATACCCTCACAACAACTTTGTGATGTAGGCTAGGGAAGAAGAAGAAGAAGAGGAGGAGGAGGAGATTGGATTTATACCCCGCCCTTCACTTGGAGTCTCAGAGCGGCTTACAAACTCCTTTCCCTTCCCCTCCCCACAACAGACACCCTGTGAGGTGGGTGGGGCTGAGAGAGCTCTGACAGAAACTGCTCTTTTTCAAGGACAGCTGTGCCAGAGCTTGTGACTGACCCAAGGTCACATCAGCAGGTGCAAGTGGAGGAGTGGGGGAACAAACCCGGTTCTCACAGATTAGAGTCCGCACACTTAACCACTACACCAAATTGGCTCGACTGGCATCCAAGACCACTCAGTGGGCTTCTATGGCAGAGTGGGGATTTGAATCCAGGTCCCACAGGCTGAACGTGGATTGAACGTGGGACCTTCCCCAGCAACTCCAACCACTATACTGCACTGCAGGTCTGCTGCAGCGAGACTGAACGTTTCTTGTTTTTGGAAGTCCTTCAACTAACTCCAGTAGCTCAGGGGACTTTTCAGTTTAGAAAAGCGATAAGGAAGGACATTATAGAGGTTTATAAATTTAAGCACAGGGTAGAGTGGGCGATTAAGAGAACTTTTTCTCCCTCTCCAAAACACTAGAACTAACGGGCATCTTCACAACAGACAAAAGGAAATACTTCTTTAACCAGTGAATGATTAAAATGTGCAATTCGCTGCCAGAGGACGTAGTGATGGCCACAAGAATAAACAGCTTTAAAAGGGAATTAGATAGATGCATGGAGGAGAAGTCTATCAGTGGCTACTAGCCATGGTGACTGAAGAGAACCTTCCATGTTCAGAGGCACTAAACCTCTGAATTCCAGAGCCAGGAGGCAACATGGGGGGAAAGGCCTCGGCCTCTATGCCCCATTGCTGGCCCTCCAGAGGAACTGGTTGGCCACTGTGTGAGACAGGATGCTGGACTGGATGGACCATTGGTCTGATCCAGCAAGAAGAAGAGATTGGATTTATACCCAGCCCTTCTCTATCCAAAGGTGTCTCAGAGTGGCTTACAAACTCCTTCCCCTTCCCCTCCCCACAACAGACACCATGTGAGGTAGGTGGGGCTGAGAGAGCTCTTGACAGAAACTGCTCTTTTTTTCAAGAACAGCTCTTGTCAGAACTACGGCTTGCCCAAGGTCATCCAGCAGCTGAAAGTGGAGGAGTGGGGAATCAAACCCAGTTCTCCCAGATTAGAGTCTGCGCTCCTAACCACTACATCAAACTGGCTTCAGCAAGGCTCTTTTTCTTATGGAGAAAGAAATGGCATAAGGGCCCCACTGGTGGACCTCCTGATGGCACTGGTATTTCTGGCCACTGTGTGACACAGAGTGTTGGACTGGATGGGCCTTTGGGCCTGATCCAACATTGGCGTCTCTTATGTTCTTAAGGGGGGACCTTTGGCATGGGCTGGGTGTGGAGGGAGAAGAAATCTTGCAAAGTAACATTATGAATCATCAGTGGTCTATTAGTGGCCACCAGCTGTGGTGACCAAAGGGAACCTCCGCATTCAGAAGCAGTCAGCCTCTGAATCCCAGTGCCAAAAGGCCGCATTCTCTGCCCTGTGGTTGGCCCTCCAGAGGAACTGGCTGCCCACTGTGTGAGACCAGATGCTGGGCTAGATGGAGCCCGATCAGATCCACCAGGGCTTTTCTTACGGCCTTATGCTGCAACATCCAAATGCAGCCCCTTCATGAACTGGAGTTTTGTTTCTTTCTCAGTAGCCAGGATTCTTAACCACCGTTTTAATCTTGGTTTAGAAACTTCGGTGTGAGAAAATATATTAGTTCCCGTTTGTCATGAAATCAGTCTTTAGCTGTGCTCCACGCACAAATAAAAAAGAAAGAAAGAATAAATGGAGTGCTGTCTTTTATCAAAAACACATTCCTTCACTTCTCGGGCTGGTGGCGAGGGGTTTGCAGTCTGAGGGGAACCTGTCCCACAGAAACCCCTGAGTCTTAAAGAGAGTAGTAAAAGAAGAAGAAGAAGAGATTGGATTTATACCCCACCCTTCACTCGGAGTCTCAGAGCGGCTTACAATCTCCTTCCCTTCCCCTGTGAGGTAGGTGGGGCTGAGAGAGCTCTTGAGAGAACTGCTCTTTCAAGGAGAGCTCTAACAGAACCATGGCTTGCCCAAGGTCATCCAGCAGCTGCAAGTGGAGGAGTGGGGAATCAAACCAGGTTCTCCCAGATTAGACCCCGCACACTTAACCACGACACCAAACTTATAAGCGACCCCATAGGATTTTCCAAGACACGAGACTTTCAGAGGTGGTTGGCCACCGCCTGCCTCTTCGCAGCAATCACGGACTTCCTTGGCGGTCTCCCCCTCCAAGCACGGCACCCACCAGGCCAACCCTGCTCAGCTTCCATGATCTGATGGGACTGGGCTAGCCTAGACGGTCCGCTGATAGTTCTTAGCCAAAGAAAATGGGCCTGATTTCATTATATCTGGAGAAACTCATCGGGAATCGATCCAGGTTCAAGGTGTGATTCAAGGGGAGGGGGGCTGTCCCACAGTGGGAAAAGTGGGGGAAAGGTCAGCTCTCACCTGGACGTCCCAGTTCTCGTCCGCTCGCTGCCTCTGCAGGAAATCCTCGGCGAGGGCCACCGCCTGGGGGCAGCTCTCCGGGGTTTGTTCCCGGACCCAGATCTGCATGTCCAGCGGCAGGATAGCCAGGAACTGCTCCAGGATCAACAGCTCCAAGATCTGCTCCTTGGTGTGCCTCTCCACTTTCAGCCACTGATGGCAAAGCTTCTGGAGTTGGCTGTAAACGGCTCTGGGGCCCTCGGCCTCCTGGTAGGAGAAACGCCGGAAGTTTTGCCGCTGCCTCTCCTGGCTGAGGGCGTCCCCTCGCAAGATGGCCGCCTTGACCTTGTCGTAGTCGACCCTGTCTCGGATATCCAGGCTGCTGAAGATTTGCTCTGCTTCCCCGCCAAGGGCTGGGAGGAGGTGGGCCATCCAGTCTTCCTTGGGCCACCGGCAGGCTTCGGCCACCTGCTCGAAGGAGGCCAGGAAGGCCTTTGTGTTGTCCCAGTGGGTGGGCTCCTCCAGCAGCTGTGGGATCTCCCATTCCACCTGAGGGTATTCCAGCGTCTTCAGAAACTCCTGCCATTGGGCTTCCCAACGCTGAAGAAGCCCTTCACCTGCTTCCTGTTCTCCTGGGGGTTTGTGTAGGAATTCCCGAATACTTCCGGCTGGGCCAATAAGAGGAGCGTCCCCCGACCGGTCCCCCGATACAGAATCGAACGGATCCTCTTCCTCTGTTTTGATCCGCCGATGGAGCCCCTGCTCTAGTTCCGCGTGGAACCGCAGGCCGAAGCTGGACTGCCCTCTGTCCCTGGCAGCCATTTTGTTTCGGGCCAAGATAAACCTCATTCGAAGTTAAGCTTGGGTCTTCGCTTGCGGGCTTCTGACTTTCTCAGGAATGTCAGGGCCAATTCCCAGCCTCTGACCTTATATCTATTCTAATGCCTCTAAAATACCGCCCTATGGAAATCTGACGGATGTTTCTCCATGGACAGCCGAAGTGACCACAACTCGTAGGCTAACAGGCAGGTGAGACACCGGCATTCCAGGGAAGAGAGGAAGTTCTCCCAG